TGGCTGCAAGCGCGGTAGGTGTTGTCTTTACATTTTCTCTTGATTGATATGTGTGTGAGTTTTTGAGCGGCTTGTTCAAGAGTCTGTGATGCCCTAATTGTGTCTCTCTGTGAAATTTTTTTTTTTTTTTTTTTTTTTCTGGGATTTGTTGTTCTTCTTAAGTAGTTCTAAGGTATGAGTATGCAGGGTGTTGTGGCGATGCAGCTGTTGCGGCAGTCCACTCTTCAACCGCGCCTGAAGCTGCCGGCTGGTCGAATTGTGTCGCTGGAGGAGGGCCGCCGCTTGGCACGACTCATCAACGAAGAGGCGGAGCACAACGCCACTGCGTTGACGAGCGCGGTGGAGAACAAGTCGGTCGGTTCGCCGGTGGTGCTGGAGGAGCAGGTGTCGAAACGTATCTTGTTGCTGAGACAGAAGAACAACAAGGCGGCAAACGTCAAGGCAGCCGTTGCTTATGCGCAGCGCAGCAAGGTGTCTAATAAGATGGCTGAGACAGGGGCGGAAGTACGAGATATTGCAGTGAAATTGTTGAAGAAAGATAAGGGAAATCGTAGTGCGTTGAAGGAGCGTCACGAACGCAGTAAAGGAAAGAAGTCGGGGAAGAAGCATTGAAGACCCAACGTTTAACAAGAAGTGAATGAGGGACTTTAAGTAAAGAAAAAAAAAAAAAAAAGCAAATGATAAAACGTGCAAAAACAGCATGGCTCATATGAGTAGATTTTGCTTTTTTGAAGTCGCGTAATTCTTCCATTTTTTTTTTGTTGTTAGTATAAGTTTATTTCTTCCTTGAGCTATCATGCTTTCGTAAGAGGCTTTATATATTGTAATCATTATACCATGTTGTTTTTATATTTGATAAAATATATGGATACTTTTTTTTTTGTTTTCTTCTTCTTTTGATGGTGAAGTATATATATATATATATATATTTCTCTGAAGGTAGGGTAGAAGATACAACAACTGTGATATCTTTCTATTTTAGGAAAACACAAAAAAAAAAAAGAGGAAAATAAAGCGAAGTAAAAATAGTATTGTAATCCATTATTCTTCTTTTTTAGTGAGTCATATTGATCCAAACGATGCTTTCAACGTGCCTGTGGTTTTCCTTTTTTTGGAGTTCAATTTTGACAGAGGTCATATTACCTGATTTGTCAATGGGTTTCGGGATTGCAAGCGCAAAAAATTTAACTTGTCAAGATGTGCAAATTGGTACGACGAGTGGCACGTTCAATTCGTCATACTGGTCTTTATTGACTAGAGAGACCTCAAACATTTCTTGTTCTGTTGATCTTGAGATGGGGGTTTTACGTTCACGTATTTATTCAACTATTAAAGTAAATCCAAGTCAGATATCCATCTCAAAAACTTGTGGTGATGACTGTTATAGTACCACACTTGTAAAAGATCAATGTACAGTTGGTTTAACAGTTGATGATTTATACCTGGATCCTCCTAATCCATTAATGGATATGGTTCTCCGGCAGGTAAAAAAATTTCTGGAGAAAGATGTAGATGCGTATGTGTGTGAAGTTATTCTTCCTCTTATTATGGAGAATGTAGAGAATCACACGTTGAATGCACCGACATCATTTCCAGGTCTTGTTGCTGGAGCTACACCTATAGAAGATGCTCCAATGATTCGTGCAGGTGTAAAAATCCTGAATGAACTCCCAGAGATATTTGGTATGCAACTAAACGCTTCTACACATGCTGGAACAACTGTTCAATTAGGATTTACCTTTCCCAAAGGATTTCAAATGTCACTGGGGGAAGTAAAAAAGCATTCTAGTATGTTAAAATTACCTTTTAATAATATGCAAGGGTTTTTACCCGATATATTTTCCTTTAATTCAAATACACAGTATGATTTAAGGCATCATTTTCTCATTAATAACGGTACTATGCAAGTAGATGTGGAACGTCCATTTCTTGCATCACTTGATATCTCACTTAATGATTTTTATTGTGAAGATAAGGGATTTTTATGTACTTTACCTTGTACAGATGGAATCACACTAGAAAACCTTCGTCTTGAAAAACTTGGAGAATGGGATACGATAGTTGTGAATCACATAGGCCCTTTTGCAGTTTCTCTCATTAACAAGTTTATAAATGCTACAACTTTTTCTCTCTGTAATAATTCAAACAGTGACCGTCTTCATATTCCCACTAAGGAACCTCCACCAGTTATTATGACACCACCATTAACACTCTTTTTTGCTTTTGCTATTTTTGCTATTTTACTAATTGTGGGAACTGTGTATTTGAGTTTGCGGAAGTATCGCTTATCACCGGCCGTATTATATGATGGTACTGTAATGTCACTACGTCGAACCATTATAGAAGATATTGTAATCCTTTTAATGGTTTTAACAGCAATTTTTGGTTTTCTTTGGTCTAATGCCACAACTGCTGCGGTACTATTAGTGGGAGGAGACGTTAGATTGCTTTCTTTTTCACTAATGGAGACTACCCGAAGTCTTTATGAAGCTGGTCTAAAACCATTTGCTGTGCTTGTTTTTATATTTAGTGGAGTATACCCTTATATTAAGCTTGTGTGTATTTTGGTGTGCACTTTAATTTTACAAAAGCCAGAATTAATGATTCTCAGAGTAGTGGATTATTTTGGTAAGTTTTCATTTCTTGACTCATTTGCAATGGTTATTATGGCGAGTGGTCTTCAAATTTCTGGTATTGCAGATGTTAAGATTCTTCCCGGTTTTTACGTGTTTCTCGCTTCCACAATTCTTACAATCATTGCAGGTAATTATGCAACCAATCTTTGGCGTCGTCACACATCTCTTCGTCGCCGCATATCTGTACCAGAGTTAAAAAATATCTTGGATGATGAATATTCTCTGCAATATGATTCTAATGAAGATATGGTCGATGTTAAGGAATCTAACTCTTCACGTGAAGTAAATACGAAAGGATACTATTTATCTGCCTTGAATGGACTTTTTGTTTTGATATGTTCTATTCCTGCATGGGTGTTTCCCTGTCTGAGATATAAAGTAACGGGAATGGCTTCTATTCTTCAACCCACTGATCGTGATATGACCCTGTTTGAGCTTTCCTGCACATCGTACATGTTATTAATTACATGTATCTTCACTGTTGGAGTTGCACCGTTCTTGTATGCTCTAATGTATCCACGGTGGTCATTCCTTGCATCTTGGGGTGCCTCGGATGCATTGCTGTTAGCCTGTGTGGCTGGACTTCTTCAACTCGGGCAGTTTGTAGAGTTTGTCATTGGGAAACATATGAATGCTGTTTACCGCGCAGAGGCAGAACTACTATGGCCATTGTTATTATTACTCGTAGCCTCCGTCTGGCAATGGATCTTAGCAGCGGATCATGTAATTGGTATTCGGAAACGGATTGAGAAAAAATGGACAGAACGTAAAGGGACAATTGTACCGACTGAAGAATATATGTAGAAGAAAAATTATTACGGATCTTTTGTTGCTATCTGAGACAAGATGTGGATAAGTATAGTAGTACTCTCTTATCAGTTTTTTTTTTGTTTTGTTTTTAATACCTCCCTACTGTTTTGTTTTGTTTTTCATTTTCTTTATTGTTGTGAACACCTTGAAGATGAAAATATAGTAGTACTTGGTGATGACAGTTTTTATTATTATTATTATTATTATTATTATTATTATTATTATTATTGTTGTTGTTGTTGTTGTAAGTATCACTATGATTGAAAGAGTCTTGAAAGTGTTTTTTTTTTTTTTGTTTTGTTTTTTCTACGTCTCTGTCTATATGTGTATAGGGAAGGGGAGGGAATGCATCAGTTGCCGTCAGAACTATTATTATTTATCATGCTTCCCTGCTGCATTGTGTTGGCAGAGGAAATTTATCATTGATATTTCTCTGTTCGTTGGATCTCTTTTTACTTTCTATTACTCTAGTACTAGTCACATGCTAACAATGCACTGAATCCTTCCTTCCTAAGATATGCATCTGTATTATTGCCACCATATGTTATTTTTTTTTTCTTTTTCTTCTGTACTTTATATTTTTTTAAATGTTTTCTAATCCCTTTTTTTTTAGGTGAGGTGTTAACATGTTACCAACAACAGAAACATGGCGTCAGTGTGCTGTAATGTTGAGTAATGCATCTGAACAAGCATTGCATACTGCTGCAGCTACTGCTTTAGCTGTCCTTGAAACTGGAAACACGCGAGTTAATGAACTTGCTGTTGTTGCGAGTAGTAATAGTGATAGCGATAGTGGTGCCACGGTGTTGTTGGATACACTGCTGACAAGTGCGATGCTTTTTATTTTCCGGCAGTTCTGTGCGGAGGGTGTGGAGGACACACAAACAGCACGACAATTTCTTCTATCCCACGAAGTACACATCGCCCCACAGGCGGTGGATGTCATTGTGGAGATATGGGCAGTAAACAGGCGACGGGTAGTTTCACTTGTGCGCTGCAGGGCTGTTAAGGATTTCTGCAACTCCACAAGTGGGAACTCTTCAATGTTGCCAAAGTTCATTGCTTCAAGGGCACGCGTTATCGCAGCCAAAGGTGATATCTCAACAACAACAACAACAACAGTAATAACTGCTAATACTAGTACTGCACCAACGGAAACAATGAAGCTATCTGACTCCGCCTGCTGTGTGGAATCACTGTTGTTATTCCCCGCAACATCCACACATCCTGACGGTGTTGAGGTCAATGTGAACTGCGAAGAGGCGTACAGTTTTTTCTGCGAACTGGACAAGATTAATGCAAAATTAGATGTGTTACTCGGTCACTAAGGCACACATTGTGTTGCAGGGATATCACAGGAAGAAATATCAATACGCGTTGCGAGTGATTTAAGAGAAACAGAACGTGAATACATACCCACAAAAGGATGAATCAATTAGGAAATAAAATATATACATATATATGGGTGGTAGGAAACAATTATACATTGTCTCAGAACTAGTTTTAATAACTCTTTTTTCTCTTTTATTTTTTTTTTTTGCATTCCTAATTGTACATTCACAACTAGTTACTTTTAATCGTTTTCCTCTATACTGCCAGTTGGATGAAGCCAACCGCAAAGTTATGGCTAGAAGAGAAAAAACGAAGATTAAACTCCCTTCCTGTAGAGGAGGAAATACGAATGCGTAAAATAAAAGAAAGGCTGAATCCCACTACAACTCGTGTCTCAGTCACCACCGGTAGTGTAGGAACATGGAGTAATCCTTCAACACCTGTTTCCGATACCGCTTCCGGTCTGTTAAGCCAAAACGTTGCCTTACTCGCATATATTGACGATCTTGAAGAAAAGTATTATCAGAGTGAGAAACAACGGGAAAAACATTCTCACAAGTTGCAGGAACTATCAGAGGAACATGATCTCCTTGTAAAAGAAATGATTTCCTTGATGCTGGATAGACACAAAGACGAGATACTACTAACGGAGAAGCGATTTAGAGATAAAGTTATGCTACAGGAGAGTGATGCCCGTGTGGATCTCGCCATAACAGCAGCTCACCTCTTTACTCAAGCTCATTTCGTATCTTCACATCAAAGCAACGTAATAAAACGACAAGTAAAAAGCATTAGTCAAGCAAAAGAGTTTTTCGCTTAAAAACGATGAAGAAATCAAATGATATACTAAATTACAAAACGCTAGCAAAGAATGATAATAGGAGAATGAATATTTACATTTTGACTAGTTAAACATACAGTGGGGGAAATTTACTTTCATCATATATGGGTTCTGATGCATATTTCCACTAATGATTTCTCACCGATTTTTTTTTGTATTAATACTGTAACAGAACTGCATTTTCTTTCTTGAGAGGACTTTCTCAAGCGTTGATAAGTACAGTAGAACCTCTCTTGTCTGCGAGTGAAAAACTTCGTGTATTCTATGAGACGCATTTGGTCTACCAAAGGTCATTTTTGCGAACAGTAACGACGTTACAAGAGGGATTGCATCGCACAGAAATGCTTCAACGACGACGAATAGCGGTGGAGCAGACACTGGAGTTTGCAAGTTGCATCTTGGATGATTT